CAAGTCCCGAACACCTCAGGATCTAAAAATAAAATTTAAGGTGAACTATGGCACCGAGCTCAACAAGCTGACAATGAACCCACCTACCTCGGTTAAGAGCTCCACGCCCACGACGCGTGCCTGATCACACGCACTCCCAGAGAGCAAAACGGGAGCACCAGCACAACCTCAATCCTGAACCCAAAGGAAGCACAATCACCACAAACTAATCTAAAATCCAACAGAAGGAAAATCACAAAACTAACCTGAAGACCATTACTTGATGCTTGAGGAAAGACAGGATCACACAAGCTCACAACGCCATCTCCACAGCTCAAAACAATTGTATGTGAGTGCGCACCCCACACACCTGGCTTTAAAGGGTACGTTGGTGCCGCCCACCACTCACCTTAAAGGTGAATCCGCACCAACATACCACAAGTTTAATTCCTTTTTTTCTCTATCATTTTGCTTCTGACTACAGCGATGCTCCCTCATTCAACTTCAGCTCTTCTCCTCTTAAGCATCCTCCTACATCACTCCTCTGTTCTGTCGTGTCGGATCGGGACCCAAACAGAGTGTGATGCTGCTCCTTTTGTACCAGGCCACAACCTGGTGGGGGAAGGTTTTGATGTAATCACACTTCAGAGAAAAGGAGCTGATGTGATTGATGTGAAGACTTACCTGAGCCCCAGCAAAACCTGTAAACTCTGCAGCAACCCTCTTCAAAACCATGTCCTCCAAAAAGTAATTAAAATGCATAAATAAACAGCTGCACATCTGACTTGAGGGATTAACAATAACGTGATTTTTCTTCATTTTAAGCTTCCATCTTCTGTTGTGGACTGGAGTTACGTCAGTCAATGCAGGCCTGACATCCACAGCAAACTTCACACCTCTCTCAGGTAAAGTATTTAAACCGGATTGTGAACACTGTAAAAGTTGAATCATACAATTAAACTAAGAATTACTGAATTTTTTTTTTATTTTTTTTTACATGTTACAATTACATGTTCCAATCAGCTGTGTATGTTTATTGGAACTTTATGTGGT